TCCCAATGCAAATGCACGATGCAGTTTTTGGCGGACGATTGCAGCATCCCGCTGCTCGGTGGAGGAGAGGGTGGCCCACACCTCGTACGCCTGGTCCCTCAGGCGTGTGGGTATGACAGCGGCCAGTGACACACGACGCAGGGCACACAGCTGTGTCGCCTGCTCCAGCCATCTGACGACGTCACCGCTGCCGTCGAACTCCGGTATTGCCCGCAGATCGAATGCAGGCGCAGGAAACTCTGGTTCCATGGTATTGGTACCAGCTACCGGTGCACCACTGCCCTCTTCTACGTCAGACATAATCACAACACTTAGTCGAGAAGGCCGAAATAGCTTGTCGTACTGACTTAAAAGTCACCGTCCAGCACAAGAAGAAGATCTATTCTGCTCTCCTCTACACCTTCCAGCCAACTAAACTCACAATCCCCCTCCTGGCACATCCACAGCTCGCAGACACACATCTCACATCATCACCAACCAATCGCGCTGTCATACGTCATATATCTCACATCATAACCAGCCAATCATGCTCCCATACGTCATGCCCGGCCCAGCTACTTGCAGGGTGTAACTCGGCCCTGCCGGCATCAGATGCCGGCGGCTATGACCAACGCTGGGTCACCGGTTCACAGCTCGACGCTGAAGCTGACTCACACTTATACGGCTCACATTCATCCTTGCGTCACGCTACAACCAATGTGATCCCTATTAAATTGCCTTTTATTTCAACTGCGTTTTATTTCCAAAGGCGTTCGCATATGGAAGATATTGACAAAACTTTAAACCTATGCATATTGGCCACTTTGCCCCATACCCTGGGGCAAAGCGGCCACCGGCATCTTCTCAAGTCCCGATATGAGGAACAAAATATTTGCCTCATGTACGACTAGGGTATTAGATGGTGACAAGGTTTAAGCGAGGATGGATGTTTACTTTATCATCTTCCACCTGTAGGTAAACAAAAAAAGGATTTTCATGAAAAAAACATTTAATTGCATTATTTGGTAACTCATGCAACTGAAAAGTGGCCAAGATGAATGCATGAGGACACATTTGAATATAAATAATGCTGTTTATCCAGATGGAAACAACTTATGGCAAATTGGGGGGTGGCCACTTTGCCCCGGCCACTTTGCCCCGCGCATACCGTCCGAGACAAAAATATTCCAGCTTAGCTATTAGTGGAGTAAAAAGCATTAAAATTGGTATGATACATATACGATAACCATGCAATGCATGGACAAGAGCGCTTATAAAAATTCCAAACGGTTATGGAATAACATAACATTTAAAAAATGTAAACATAGTTGGTAACCTGGCAAGAAAGGCTTTTCTGTGTTTCACAGAACAATGGTGATGGGCCTGAAACCCCGGTCTGGCTCATTCGAACGACCGTGAAGAGAAGTATAATTGGAAACCATAAATTGGAACTGACGCCAGCTATGAAGGGCTAAAACGATGGGTGGCCGCTTTGCCCCGGGTGGCCGCTTTGCCCCACTCTCCCCTACTCTGTAGTCCATGTGTAGTCGGGGCCGCGTCCACGATCTGAATTCCATGTGGCTACCTGATTTGCGCCTTATTTGTCTCCGTTACCTGGCTAGTCGAGTAAGGATGATAATTTCACGCCGTTCCACGAGAGACAACATGACACTACACAAGACTACCCTTCACACATAGCCCAATGGCCACCGTCCTTCTCAAGGTCATGAGAGTACCGACACGTGAACGGGGCAGACAGAGCGAGCAGATACCATGCCACCTGTTTCTGGTCGTCCCTGGTAAAGAGCCCGTGGGGAGGGGAGGGTGGAGGGAGTCACCTGAACCTGCCTGCCGGCGGGCAGACGGGCGGTCTGGTCTGGTCGCGGGGCCGGCCGTCTGATCTGGTCGCGGGACCGGCCGCCGGAGCCAGTGGGGCCGGTCTCCAAATATGCGGGGATGGGAGCTGGAGAGGTGGGAGGGGGACCAGTTCTTCGGAGGCTGCCGGCGATAGGCATACGACATGCATAAGTTCTATTTTGTTAGATCATGTATGAACTATGCGTGAGTGAGGTCACTCTTCTTGGATTATTTTTAGTCTATAATACTCGACTCATGCATTGAGGAGTCGAGTACCTAATATTGGCACGCATGTGGTGGTGTCAAATCTGTTAATTTAATGTAAAACTGTCATTGAACGAGCCATTGACTGTTTTAGGCGCGCCCCTAGCTCGGATGTCGGGCATTGTCCGCCAACACGGCGCAATAGCTCGGTATGCGAGCTGCAGGTCACTTGTCGGATATTATCCGGACACAGACTAAGATTACCTCTGTCTGAAAGCTGCCCATGATTACCTGTGTTAACAAATTTTTGCCTTGAATAGAATGATCTAAGACCGTTTCCTTTATCTTGTGATCTTTCGAAAGCTGCTTCCACCGCTGGCTACATTGCTATAGTTATCGAGCCTTTCCGTGTGCACCGCAGTCACGACCCGTGGAGATTCTAGCGCGTGGGTCGGTCAGAAACCGGTCCGAGCTTTAATAACAAAGCTTGCAAATGGTTCACATGGATAATATGAACAATATGATAAAATGGGCGTTATGTAAGGATGACATACCTAGGTAAGCAGTAAACCGGTCTTTGACATGTTCAAAGAGCTGGCACAACGATACTGAAAAAGTAACCAATAATGTAAATAACCGTTAGAGGACATATATGAATGTCGTGCATATGTAGTTTTAGCGTATTTTATACTTATTGTAAGGAGTTAAGCGTTTAGCGCTCGCTTATTTCTTGTAATCCCTTTTGCACAGTTATGCCCATAATGAACTGTCAAACCGGTTATGTTTGTCTGATCTGTAACTTTTATAAGAACTTTTTCGTGTTGACACATTGTAGTTGCAGTTGCTGATGAGTTCTTATGGACATACCATTCTTTTATAAGGGACACACCGCCTTTGAGAGACATGCCATTTCATTGATGGACGAGGTACATATAAAACGTAACAACGGCTCGGAATATCCTTTACTGTAACAACGGCTCGGAATATCCTTTGCTGTCACGCATTATCCAGTAGGTACTGTAATTACGTATGTCCGCGGGAATTCCCCTATCTTATGTTTCCGAGCTTGATGGCTGTATTTCCCTGTACCGTGTTACCTGCTTATACTTTTTTCTAGAAATGTTGCAGATTGATGAGGGAAATTTACAGCATTTAAGCATTGAATGTGAAGGAATAGGTAAAATGGGATGCCCAGTTTGTTGTGGGACAAAAAAAGAATCACTTGATTGTGCTTTTTTTGCAATGAAAACAAACTTTGCTTTCTAAGGAACATGAAAGAGCTATCCTGACCTATATCATGCCAGCTTTGACTTACATTTTTTCATCTACAAAAAAAGCTTTTTGTATTTACTTTTATAACTACAAAATGATTTTTATTTTCAATCCTACACCTAATTTGGTACTAGGTATCGCTATCTCAAGTGATAGATATAGAGCTAGATATTTGGTGAAACCCTAACAATGGTCCGTAAAATGTACATTTTACCAGTGTAACAACGCAGCAACGCATCCGGCATCCGAGACATCAAGGCACTCTTTAGTCGACGAATGTAGCTCATGAGTTACCAACAGGTATACCGCGGGGTAAGCCCCGCACTCTCCCTACGACCGTCATTGGTCCCGTGTCCGCGTGCTGCCCCGCTGCGGGGTGTCTGTGGTCAGCAGGGCGGCTTGAGGTGATCACCACCGTGTTATAGCAGGTAGTTTCGCACCGCAATTCTCCTCAGAGGGCCTCCTGGACTCCGTAAAGGGACTTGCGGGTACCATTGCGGGGCCCCGACCACATGCATTATACAATATACACCAGTATAGTATACACGGAATGTGCTGGATCGAACGTCTAGTCTGGTCCAATCTGGGCCGGGTGCTGCTCGACATCAACACAAAAACCAGTGACGTCACCGTCCGCCCCGGACATTCAGCTGCTGAATGACGTCAGATGGTAATGAACACCGCCGCTGATGACGACACACGTAGAGCCCGGACAATGGTGGCGGGATAGGTGTCAGATCGGTCGAATGGTGTGGCGTGTTTCAACTTCCCACTGCCTCTGACTCATTGCCGGCCAGAAATGAGGTGTAGAAGTATTTCATTTGCTGTATCTTCAAAGCAAATGTGTATACGAGTATATGAAAGATAACGAACTCCCGACCTATTTATGAGTCGTGACGCACAACGACATCCGCACCGCATTTTACCAGGCGTGAAGCCAGGCCGGGTCCGCTGCATGCTGAAACACATTATGATAAGACTTTAGCTGGTGTATAATTTAAGTAATGAATGGACATAGTTAACCATTCAGCCTTTTCATTGTCCAATCTTCAATTCCCGCCAACGCACTTGAGGGACAGGACACTATCCCTCAATATTGAGTCGCCCTCGATGGGCGACATGTATGTATTGTGATACAGTGTCTGCAAGCCACTGTCTTGCAGACATCATTGCAAGCGTGTCTGCACTGCAGTCTCAACTCAGCACTTGTTGGGTGCAAATTCAGCGCCCGCCCAGCACCGCTCGGCCGAGCCATTAGCATCAACAGTGACCATGTGTGTTTATCTGCATGTATGAATGCTATTGGAGTGAGATTTCACGGCAAAGGTCACCTTACGTATGCAGGCCGACGCGGGCCTCCCTATGGCTGTATGAAATTATTGACAGATGGGAAAATAAATTAAAATATTTAGGCTGAATTAAGAAGTAACAAAATGACTAGCCTGACGTTTTGCTGGCGTTTTAACGTTTAATCACGAGTGGGCTGGATGCAAATAAGCCAAGTAGTGCATAATTCATGGTCCCATCATTTCGTTGATCCACCCTGTCATTAGATAGAGCATCTCTTCGTAAGATTATCTTGAAGTGATGCCATGGTGTAATAAATAACTATTTACACTATGCGTAGATAAATAAATAACGTAGATATTTAGTTATTTATAAAAGCTATCTACGCCGTCTGCTCACAGGGAAGGACCAGGAGCTGTACTACTTCTACGTGCCGATCTTCATCGTCACTGGGGTCAACATCCTATTCTTCGTGGCCACGGCGTACACCCTGTACCAGGCGGAGAAGAGCTCCCGCATCCTCAACAGGAAGAGGACAGCACGTGACAGGTAACTAGCAGACGTCAACAGAAAGTCCATGCGGCACGGTAACCTCAACAAAAGAGGGGACAGCCCGTGGCAGAAAATTCTCAGCAGGACCGGGGAAGTCCTTGGGGAAGTCCATGACATCCCACAGCTTATCAAACCTCAATAAAAGTCGAAGTCAGGTCGTAATAAACAGAAAGTCCCGGACAAGTCGTCCCCCACATTCAGAGATTATAGTCTGTGCAGTATAGGTAATGCCTAATGCAGAAATTCCACAGCAGAACAGAAACAGAAAGCGAACGCGGAACAGCTCGTGACTGGCAGGCGTTACCTGCTCTGCCAATCTTTCTACGGTCGCCAACGCCAAACACGGCGTTCACAAAACCTGCGTCACTGCAGAGTCAAATTTCAGGGATCAGTCTCACTATGCGCAAGGGGAAAACAAAAGCTGCGAGCGGGACTCCCCGTCCTGTTCCCTTTGTCTTACATGTCTATGGTCTATTGGTCTATGTGCATGCAATCAGCGCTCGACGCGGGGGCCCACATATGCCCTTCATCTCTGTCAGTGTCGCGGATAACATTACAAGCTCCGCTGCAGCGCCAACCGGTTAGTTTAAAACGTCTCTGCTCTGGACCGTAAGGTCAATTTGCACACTGCATCCTGCATAGGTCAATTTGGGGTTTTCCCCGGTCAGTACTATTAGCATCTACCGGGATGCATTATGATGCCTGAGATGGCGAAACGGACGGCCCATCGATGTGAGCGCCGAGTGGGCACAACCGGCATGACGTGACTGGGATGCGTTGGTATTAGACCCTTGGACCTTCGTAACTTCCCATTAGTTTATGCGTTACTTGTAGTCAAGCTTACCTGTAGAAGGTAATGTAACTTTACGAGGGACCAATGTGTGACTGTTAGTCCATCGTTTGTCGACGCCTTCCCTATGTGACGATGTGACATGGCCTGCTTTTTTAGGCTGAAGGTGTACGTCAACCTGTTCATCATCATGGAGGTCAGCTGGATCGCCGAGTGTTTGTCGACTCAAATTGGACCCATTCAAGCATGGTGGGTTCATCTCGTGGTCTCACATATGAATTTATGACATTGAAATGTGAATAAACATTGTGCTTATGACCGACTCTTCTTTAATCCTTATTGGAACACCATCTTCACCTTGCTTATAAGATATTGACTTATTACGGTCGCGGGGAGTTACTTGAAGACTGGTGTTCGCTGCAAACCTCTCCCATCACGCGCCCGCGACTGACGACTTCCCTTCCAACAGGTACTTCACCGACATCATCAACGCGTCTCAGGGCCTGCTGATCTTCCTGCTGTTCATCGGGCGTTCGTCCACCCGGCAGACGATCCGTGAGCGGTTCGTCGAGCTGGGCCGGCGCGGTCTCATCGACTCGGTCACCAGGAGGATCCGACACGCCGACAAGAATGACGAGGTGAGCCTGCAGGCTGCAGCACCGTACGATAGCGGATGCCGGCCATTGCACAGGGGCCAGAACCTATACGTTATTGAGACTTTTTGCGAAAATCGGTGGGCTTTACGTTAGTTTTTCTCACAGCTTGCCTCTATTTTTTTTTTTTTTTTGGCAAAGGCTACGTTCGATAGTGAAGCTCTATCCATTCGGGATATAATGAAGAACCAAACCTTTTGATTGGTTTAATTCCTTTTGTTTTAATTCCTCTTTAGCTTTGCAATGTCATTGTATATTTTCGTCCCAAGTACTCATGTCAAGGTTGATCTCTGATACAATTCATGCTAAAATCCTACAATAGAACACACACGTCGCCCGAGAACGCTCAGAAGCGCCACTGACAGCAGAGACCCCTAGGTGCTAAGTGCTAACCACCGCGGCGACTGCCCGGCAGGCGGCGCGGACCTCAATGCCCACCAAGACGACCAACACCAACACCACCGTGAGCTCCTCCGCCACGGCGCGCAAGGGCTCAGACAACGAGGCCTACCAGATGACAGAGAAGGGTGGCACCGATCGGCCCAAGGGCGGAGACGAGCAGGAGCTGACGACCGACGGACCGGACCCGGCGCCCGCCGACTGCGCCTGCTGAGCACGTCCTACGGGTAAAGATGGCCAGCACAGCGGCAGGGGGATGATACGCCGGGGTTTGTAGGAGGTTATTGATCGAGCTTGTCGGTGAATTTGCGGATGGTTGTTGAGACAAAAGAGCTGGGTAAGTATGGTGTGTTTTTTTATAGAAAGATGAGCTTCGATGTGATGTTTAGCGTATTTGACTGGTGCCATGTTTATTCCTGCCGAGGCTGTTGTAAAGTGGACGGGCGCCGTGTGTGATGTTCATTTGTATTGACCATTGTTATCTAAGAATGTGTTCCGACTGGTTTGATGGGTCACAATATGATCTTGACGTTTGGGGTCTACTGTTTGTAAACCCCCCATGTTTTATGTCCAATTTGGTGACTGTCGGTAGATACACGGGCAATGCCAGTTTATTATTATGGCAACGGGTCGGAATGACGTGCCAGTCGCATTTATTATGTGTAGGATGAATGCATATGCATTGCACATTGCCCCATGCACAATGCATATGCATCGTGAGCAGTTGTATGTAAACATGCATGGTGATGTGTTGTACCACATAACGGGCATTCGTCGTTTTAGTTGTGATGTTAAATCAGGAGTTGATTTCCTATTATGGAATGTAGTTGTTTATCCTCGTCCGTAAGGTGCATAAGCGATCTCGTTTTCTTAGAACTCTTCTTCAATGTCTGCCAAATGCCAATTCGGATGCAACGTCTATCTAACTTCAGTTAATGTTCTAATTCAGATAGACCTCTGCTAAAGCATACCTTTTTATCGATGCTATAAATTCGACAACCATTATAAGATTTTAAGTTCAAATCTGAACACGCTGGATTTGTTTTCGGACGTTACTGGGAAGATGGTGCACCAGCAACTTTACCGACGCTTCCACCTTTCGTGTTTGTGCTCTTTTACGACGCCAGTTTAAAAAGGGTGACTGTGTGATTTGTTTGTAGTAAGAAGGTACCCGCTGTTGCAAGCTGTAGTTCTGTAAGGTCAGCCAAGGCCAGGTCAAATATGCTCCGTCTATTTCGTATACCGCTTACGCTAATTTGCCATGAGTAAGCTTGTGTACAAGTTTGTATGTGTGCGTGTGTTAGTTCAGTTGTAACTTGTAAGCATGTGTGCTAGTATGTTCGTGAGAACTGAGATATTTTTTTTTGTGTATTTTATGTATATTTTTTCTGCGAATTTCTATCAAATACGATATTGACCAATCTTTGCTGGAGCGACTGTGATGGTTATTATACGTAGATGACTTAGCGGCTCCCCGGCGTAATTCCATCTCCCGGAGGTCACTCGTTTGCATGGTAACACTATTACGTTAGCTTCTGGAGAGTGGCGCTACCCGATGTGTCTCCGGACGCATCTGGGCGTGGTTTTGAGCCGACTTAGTGACTCAATGGCTTACTTTTGCTTTGTTTTGTTGGGTCAGGCTCTTTTGGTCTAACGAGATCATTTCAGAGCCAGAAGGGTGATAGGAATTAGGGGGTGACATTGGTCTGGGCGGACACCCTGGTGAGTCGTCGGGGCTGAGCCCATCCAGTGGACAGGCCACCCAGCCCCTTGACACTCACCGCACCCGGCTACGGGCCTGCTCCCATGGGGGAGCTTCCCGCATGGGATAAAGATGGACAAAGTTGTCCGTCCAGCCCGGAACAGGGGTTGAGGCGAGTACGAGAAGGATTTGACTACTCTGAGGATGAAATCGACGGAACGGAGGGAACTCAGTGGCAGGTTGCTGGTCATATAAGTCGCGATCTCCGCTGTCAGGAGGCTCATCCTTAACCCTATTCCTGGCGGGGGGGGCCTCAGGAGCCCCCCCCCTGAGTTTTTTTTGTTTTTTTCTCCCAAACGCGTTGAGCTAGGAAGCTCAAATTTTCTGACTTTTCCTAAAAGGCTTCTACGCAACATGTCTGAAAATTTTGAGTTGATCTGACCTCAGGTCAGGTCACCAGAGGCGGTTTGGTGACCCTACCTCAGAAAAGTTTGCAATCACGCCAGAGCTAGAGTTTTTGACCGATCAATTTCTTCTCTTCAGGCTTTAGTTAGGGTACCAGTATGTGCAATTTGTATATCTCGGAATTTTGATATCGGTGACCTAAGGTCAGGTCAGTTTCGCGACCTCCCCATTATAAGTCAATGGGGGGAAAATCAACTCCCTGTTTTTACCACTAAAACGGGTCGGAATGGCCCCATATACCATACATGACTTCATATACGATCAACCTTCACTACCTTGAGGTCTGTTTTGCTGTTGGGCAGCTGTGAGGTCATGTGACGTCATCAAAGGTCACCAAAGGTTTTTGGCCAATAACTCCGTACAGGAACAAGATACAGACGCGTGGATGGTCTCATTGTGTTCAGCTCGTCAAGACGCATCGAATGATATACATGATGACCTCGAGGTCACGTGACCTGAGGTCAACCTTTGGCCTTGACCTTTCGAGGTCAACATATATATATCATTCGATGCGGATTGACGAGAGGATCACGATGATGCCCTTAGTTTGTTCCTATCTTGACTAATTCGAAAGTTATTCGAGAAAAACTCTCTCCATATCTAGCGCCGCCATTTTGACTTTTTCGACCCCTGTGACGTCATCTTTGACCTGACCTGAAAATGACCTTTGTAAAAATTGTAGATCTTGACCGTGCGTATCCGATGCCGTTTACCGTTTGTCGCTGCGATGTGTAGTTTTTGAGATCTGAAGGGGGGGGGGGCCGAATCGCCCCCCCCCCCCGCCAGTTTCTTGTCCCGGCGCAGCCCGCCAGGAATAGGGTTAATTTAGCTTAACCTTCGCCCCAGTGCACTGGGGCGGGGGGGGGGGCATATGGTACCACCCTGTCGCGTTTTTTGCGTGTGAATAAAAAACCGCGGCGCGTAGCGCCGCGCCGCTTGGGGTGGCTTTTGGTACATCAATTTTGGACAATGTGTGAAATTTTTGACCCCAGGGCATGTCAGGTCAGGTCACCAGGTCAAGTTAACTGACCAAGCCTAAAAAAGTTTGCAATCATGTCCAGCCTGCAGTGTTTGTCAGAAAGGTTTTCCATGGCCTGAGATGGCCTCAAGGGCATAAGGAAGGGTCACAGGTGCAATTTTCCGATTCAGTGTGTCATTTTTATCTGTAATCCGATGTTTGAGAGTGTTTAGAATGACGTTCGTCCAAAAGAGGCGCCTTTCACTATATTTCCATTGACTTACCTTTAGGTAATGGTCGGAGATGACGCAAAAATAGCTTGATCTTAGGTCACGAATAACAAAAATTCCAGCATGATGTTTTCTTATAAATACCTACTGATGCCCTCATCAATTATAATGAAAGTTCACATGTGATCGTTCAGTCGGTGTAGCTATGGCGAGCATTCTAACTTTGTCTAAGGTTAGGTCACTTGACGTTACCTGGCGACCTGACTTTGGGCAACCTTGGTCTGAAATTTTCCAAACAGACGCAGAAAAGACGCATGAACAGCTGCGCCAAAATCGGTGGCACTTCGTGCCGTTGTTTTTTTAGATAGTTCGGAAAAGCTCAACGTGGTGTCCAAACACCTCTCAGGCCCGGCCCGGCGCGGGTAAACGGCTGACCCGGCACCTTTATATCACTATAGCGTGCGCCTCTACACTCCTGTCCAGTGTTTCGTCTATTTTGTGACTAGAGTTTAACCCTCGCTGGCACAGGCCATTTTGCGTCCTTCGACGGCACAAGGGAGGGGGGGGGGTGCGACTCCCCTCGCGTTTGGCCCCTGATCGAGTTAGAGCTTCTCGGAAAAACACGATCGTGTTGCCCGTGACGAGAGGAAGCAGGTGATACCCAATTTTAAGCTCCTAGGTCATCGGTTGACCTTCCAGGTCAGGTCAATGACCCAAAAAGTCGGGAAAATGGGGACCTGTTAGAATGTCAGGCCAGGTCGGGTCAGATCAGGTCAACCGTAGGGGTCCTGCCGGGTATTCGTAGTGTGTGTCAACCGCCTCTAACACTTGACAGCTTCGTAACATGTTACGAAGACACCAAAACTACTTCGTAAATGTTCAAATGGCTGCTAAATTGGAATTCAACTAAAAAAAAACTAGCCAAGAAACATGTAAAACTCAAAAAAGTGAACCGAGGCCATTAAAAGTCACTGACCTGACCTGATTTTCAGGTGACCTTGAAATCCACCCTTATGCATGGGAGCTGCAACATCAAATCACATTTGAACGCTTGAAACCACGAAAAGACTGTAAAGTGTAAACGCGCGGCTAATGCGACTTGCGAGCCGAAATACGCCTAATCGTGATTCCGGCCAAACATGGTCTAAAAAAAATAGGGTCACAGGCCAAAGGTCATTTGGGTCGGAGTCATGAAATTTTTAGGGTACCTAAGTGTAAAATTGATCAACGCGAGGATACTGAAAGTTTCGTCGCGATCGGCCACTTTTTACGTGAGTTATTTGCGAAAAACTTAGGGAGTTGCATCACCTTGTGCCCTTGTGCCGGCGAGGGTTAACAAACCAAGCTGCATGGCTGGAAAGAATGGGTCCGATGGTGCAACAGAAGCTTTCTCAGCCATCTTTCCCCAACCATCAGCAGTAAAAACGTAACGAGAAACTCGAGACGAGAAAAGAGGGAAGCTACGGACCACGGACAGATCTCACGTGGCTGAGCTTTCGTCACAGCCTCCGCACAATCACCGTCCCGCATCTGTTTACTGTGCGTGGGCAGTCATGCTGCACCGATGACTGAAAGTGTTGTGTGGCCACCATGTCGTCACAATGGATAGACCATTGGAAGCGGTGACCAGCATGCAGAAGCGATAATGCATTCATAGTTATATGCATAGACACTAGACAGTAACGTTAGATCCACCCAAGGTCTATTCACGCATCTTGTTAGCACTTGCTACTTTGCAACGGAGAGTCCACCCCGGCTGCCTTTGTCGACCCTACCCGGTGGGCCGGCTGGAATGTGTGACGCGACGTTTTCTGAGCTGAGCGGGGTCGTGTTATATAAGTCCTGGTGGCATAGCTATGACTGAGCCCGGAACGCCGTCGTCCATGTGACAGTGGTATATACCTCCTGAATGGTTTACTTTATCCGTGCTAGTCGTTTAACCCGTGCATGTTACTTTGATGTGTGAATACTGGATACATAAATACGGATGGATAGTGGGTAATAATTGGGTTCTACGAAATCATTAAACATTTTCAAACTTTCACTAATTTGTGGATCACATGTTCCGATGTTCTCATTTGTGACATTCCTTCTTATCGCCCGTTTTTTCTCGCTCCCTTTCCTCTGAACCGGGACCGGGGACCGTTTCCGTGTTGTGTCACACCTAGTCTCGTCGGTTCGGGCTATCGGCCGGCCCTGATCAAACATCCGCCGGGCTGGGGTCGCACGAACTCGGCACGGCCCCGTGTGTCGACGCAGTGCACTGAGATGGGGTCCACACATTGGGTAGCGGGTGGTGACCAACAGACCAGACCAGCCGCCCTTCCCCGGTGAAAGCGGGCTGTCGCACGCAGGGTGCTGTTACCTTACACCTGCACTAGAGTATCAGTATTCAGGACATTCGTACTTGGGTAATAAAGTGGGTCAGGTAGCATTGTGCTGGTACTTGGTAGCGGAATAATTCAAAGTTTAACGGAAATTCATATGAATAGAGAACACCTGTGACCTGAGCATGCAATTATCGGTAATACCTACCTTCTTGTCTTATGATATTCGTCAACAAGTTTTATGTTTGGAAGAGCAATTATCAGAAATTATTTAGTACCATAACTATTCAGAATGATCAGCGAAAATGGAACTACCTATTTGTTCTTAACTGGGCTACTAATGCGTACGCTCCAGACAGGGAAGAAAGGCAAGCCATTCAAAACCGGGAACCAGCGCGCTCTGTTATCGACGTACCTACTTTGCAAACGTTCGCTCCATCCTTGAGTATGGCAGTGTGGTGTGGGGAGGAGCAGCGGTGTCACACATCCAGAGAATTGAACGTGTGCAGGAAAAGTTTCTTGTCTGGCTCTGTGCTCGCTGTCGGGTGACTGGAGTTTCTTTAGGGTACCGAGACTTAGTTAAGCACTTCGGAGTGGACACCGTGACAGCTAGGATCCAGCGTTTTGATATTCTCTTCATCAGGGACATACATCGCCAGATGATACGTTCATCGTTCCTTCTCGATGTGTTCCCTCTCTCAGTACCTGTTCGTCTGCTTAGGCATCAGAGTATGTCCGCGAGTTCCCTGGCGCGACTGCGTGTCAATGTTGTGAAAACGTCCATCTTTAATCGCCCTCCCAGCAACTTTCCTGGATGCAAACCGCGATGTGGATATATGGAGGAGCAGCGCCGGCGAATTCAGAAGTCGAGTGGCTGCCTATGTATCGAGGGACGGCTGAGATGCAAGTCCAAGTGTTCGATGTGCCTGAAGTGTTTGTGAGTGTGGGAAATGTATTATTTGACTTCACCTGTAAATGGGTGCATAACCCGTCGGTGATAAAATGAATACAAGAATACAAGAATACAAGGATGTAAATGAGCATTTATAAATAGATAAAATGCATTCCCACATGCCGTTTGTTGTACATGCATCTGAAAATGCGGCGGATACCGAAAGTTCTGGCTTGAATAAAAGGTCAGGTATGTCCAATGTCAGCTCTATGTCTTTAACTGCAGTTTGTGGAAACCGTTAGTGAAATGATACCGATTACCGAACCCCTCCCCTCAGCCGTGTAGGGATAAATAATAATGCCGTGCTCATACCTATGCTCGAGACGCATCTGTGAAATTTAATGCTCACAATGATTTGTCCTCTCAACGACGACAATAATGAGCAAATGCAAGTTTTTTATTGTATAGATTGTTTAACATTCACACATCTGACACATCATATACGACCTAGCATTGAATAACAAGTTTACGTATAATCGACTCTGGATAGTGACGGGATAGTGTCATGGTGCGTTCATTTTGAAAGAATGTTTCGGCATGCTGTTGCCGTAGCCTGTACAACCACAAATTTATGAAACTAAAATACTTTGCTTTGTTTTAAAGCTCTATTCAACATAGGATTTATATTGTTGATAGCCGTGCTAGATTATTTCTGATAACAATCCTTACAAGCTCCTTCAATCTTACAACAATCCTTCTGATAACAATCCTATCCCGCGCACCGACGGGGGGGCGGATATCCGCCCCCTGAGGTTTTTCGCGAATAGCGGGAAAACCGCGGCGCGTAGCGCCGCGAAATTTGGTATGACTATAACCTCATCAATTTTACACATGGTGTGCAAGTTTGAACCTCCTACCTTTTAAGGTCAGGTCATCAGGTCACTTTGAATGACCCAACCTCAAGTCACTTTTTTGCAACTTTGTCACCGTGCCAGAGCTACAGTAGATGTCGGAGGCCTTTGAAAGTCGCAGGATATTATTAGGTCATTAGTAGCTACAATTTGTATATCTCGGAATTTTGATATCGGTGACCTAAGGTCAGGTCAATTTCGCGACCTCCCCATTATAAGTCAATGGGGGAAAAATCAACTCCCTGTTTTTACCACTAAAATGGGTCGGAATGGCCCCATATACCATACATGACTTCATATACGATCAACCTTCACTACCTTGAGGTCTGTTTTGCTGTTGGGCAGCTGTGAGGTCATGTGACGTCATCAAAGGTCACCAAAGGTTTTTGGCCAATAACTCCGTACAGGAACAAGATACAGACGCGTGGATGGTCTCATTGTGTTTAGCTCGTCAAGACGCATCGAATGATATACATGATGACCTCGAGGTCACGTGACCTGAGGTCAACCTTTGACCTTGACCTTTCGAGGTCAACATATATATCATTCGATGCGGATTGACAAGAGAATCACGATGATGCCCTTAGTTTGTTCCTATCTTGACTAATTCGAAAGTTATTCGAGAAAAACTCTCCATATCTAGCGCCGCCATTTTGACTTTTTCGACCCCTGTGACGTCATCTTTGACCTGACCTGAAAATGACCTTTGTAAAAATTGTAGATCTTGGCCGTGCGTATCCGATGCCGTTTACCGCTTGTCGCTATCTTGCTTCGTTCTCGAGATCTCAGGGGGGCGGTCATCCGCCCCCCCCCCCGTCGGTGCGAAGTTGGCGCAGACCCCCGTCGGTGCGCGGGTTAACATACTGTTGAACATTTCAAGATTGCATAAGTAAAAACATCGGCATTCGGCTACCTTTTGAAGTTTATGCATTTGTACATATAAGCAGCACATATCATATAATCGAAAACATCAAACAGACGACGCCTTCCATATATGTAAGATGCTGAGTCTGATATGTTGCAAGATGCATCTCCGCATGTTACTTCACATTGCGTGGAAAACAGCCAAAGACGAGAGATATACCAACAATCGATAACAGATCAACGGTTCGTCTGCTAAGTAGCTTCAAAATAACTTAGATGTGAAAAATAGAGCTATGGAAGACGAACTTAGACCTTATGCAAGCGCACAAATTGTTGATTAATGCTAGCTAAGCATGTTGAATGCCACCGTTTCAGTAGTCATTGATATGTCACGATGTCACGTAGGCAGCTCATATGATCTCATGCACAATATGTCATCGACGAAAGTCACACACAGCTCACCTAAAACGCAGTGATTTTGCTAGCTAACACTGATTGAGCGCGCACTCATCCACTTGATAATTAATTAAATATCCATTTTAACGCGGCTGACACTCATTTTCTTCAGTTTGTAATTGTTCCGGATGAGACATCCAGTTGCAGTCCTGAGTTCCTCAAAATCCAAAGTTTTATCTTTCCCACAGCGAACAGTGAACCAACACACAGCAGTTCATCTTCCTTCTACATAAATCTCCAACTGGCCGCGCGCAAACAGTCTGAGTTCAGGAGACGTTTCATCAGTAACCGAGCAGCCAGTCTGTCTGTACGTCCTAGTTTTACTCTGCCCTCAGTGGCCGTACGGACAGTTTTTCTGGTCGGTCTTCTGTATTTTCCCGTGTCCAGGCCGAAGTGACGGATCCGCTTCATGATGTGTTTGACCAGGTACGGGCTGGGAAACTGCTCGCGGGTCAGCACAAACAGAAGCTGCGTGTTGAACAGCTTCAGGCTGGAGCACGACCAGACGATGGCGTACTGCGTGTAGTCCGTGTCCAGTACGATGTAGTTGGCGTCGCTGCCGAAGCTGGGCACGCACCCCTCGAAGTTGACGCGCAGTTTGGCCTGGCCGGGCCGGCCGACCGGCTTGGCCACGCCGCGGATGTCGCTGCGCGTGCCGCCGAGCACCTTGATGCTGCGGTTGGTGACGCCGATCCGGCCGTAGCCGGCGTCCGAGTACACTGCCTGGATGCACTTGCGGCCCACCTCGAAGACGGTGAAGTACTTGGAGTACTCGTACCAGCGGCCCAGGTAGAACTGCGGCTCGAAGTTGCCGACTATGGGCGGTCGCGGACAGCTGCCGAGGAAGGGCACCTGACCGGCAGCGGCGGCCACCAACACCAGCAGCGAGAGCACGCGCAGCGCCCGGCACGAGTCCATGTCGGCTTCTGAGCGCCGCCGCCGCCCGCCGCCGCTGGTCGACGCGCCACGGCGCACAGAGGGGAGGGAGGGAGGGAGGGAGAGCGCCGGAACTGGGCGGGTCGGTGAGGACACACCGAAGGCGGATACGCCGAAACACGGGTGAGTCATCCCCCATCATCTGGAAGGTAGGATCGGCGGGATTTCCGACGCTTGTTGACATTACCATTCGTCAGCGCAAAGTATAGCTGGGCTGAGTGGGCAGCTAAAAAACCAGGATCACATTCTGAGGTCAATGTGCGACAAGTACCTAGGTATGCGTTGATTAGTGCGTCTTATTTTGCTTGCATGGGCACCAGCCATGATTTATTTTGGGCATCCTGTTGCATCTAGCCATTGCTCTTGAATTCCACGTTTCAAGGGCTTCTTGTAGTTAGTCGCTGAAGAGGCATGGCATTGTTCTAAGATACGAAAGTACGCAACCAGAAGAACCAGACATAGAAGAAAGCGAGGATATTGATAAAAACGTCATTCTCAGTTCTCACCACAAGGACTCATGGCATTGATATATCAAACCCCTGAGAGATTCGCAGGTCGTTTTGCGACATTGGCTTTCAGGCTTGGAACTATTCCATTCGATTGAAATTATAGGTACGTACGCCTGTCGGGTAGGGTCACTGAGTTGAGAGTGAATGCGCTATCTATCATTACCGTTTGTGATCGCACAATGCCGCGTGTGAGTTTTTTCGTGCCTGGCGGAACTCCGCTGTGCGTCGCATTGTAGGTTGCGCAATACTGATCTATTTCAAGCTCGTTTTGGAGTTATACGCACTGATCCATTTCAAGTTTGTTTTGAACTTTCCTCGGTGAAAGTTTACCGCGGCGATCACCCGAACACACCTGCCTGGCGGCGGTCTCCACGATTCCTGCCGGTGTTGTTTTGTGTGCGCCGGCCCGTGTCGAGGCGCTGTGTCCGGGGTGTGTTTTTCTCCCCTGTTGACTGTGGCGTCCGGGAGCGGCAGTAGCTGAGATCCGGGTCGGCAGAGCCGCCGGCAGCCGACACAGGATCGGGGCTAGGAGGTGACTGGAGGACGTAGCGACGGATCACCGCTCATCCGCGAATCGTTTCGACGCATAAACCTGTGTTGCCTTCCAAATTTGATTACAGTATCATTTTCAAACCTCAACGTCAGCTGTGCATAGCGACAGAAGTGAGCTAAAACGTGCTGAATCACATGAAGAGCGGCAAAGGAATGTTCAATGCTCATGCACATTTCATATGTATTGTAATCGCAAAAATAGCACCCCGTTGAACACTGCACTGTAAAGATCCCTAACGTAACACAGATCCCGGTCTAACGTTTTATGGCACACCACACCCCACTGCTGGACACCTCACGGCAGCAGGGAGGGTCACTACTCGCTGCTCCTCCAGGATGTGACCCTACTCCCGGCCCTCAGAGTCGGCGGCTCCGTTCAGCTCGCTCCAGATCAGGTTGGCGATGGCGTACTTTGGTCCGCACAAACCGCGGAAGTCGTCCGTGTCAATCGACCACAACATGGCGCCGCCCACTCCGATACTCTTCAGGTAGTCCAACTGGCAAAATGTACATGTGATGTGTGAAATACGAGTAATTAAGAAGGAGCGACGAAA